GGTTCAACATATCATTAGTTTACTAGCTTCTCATTAGTTTTTCTCTGGTCATATGTACCTATATGTTAAACTTTGCTAATAAATTTAGTCAAGTCAGCTTAAAAAAAAAAAAAAAAAAAAAAAAAAAATATATATATTTTATAAAACTATAAACTTTCGAAGACTATTTATGAATGATAATGAAAATTTGATAATTATTTGAAATAGAATAAATCAATATAGTAGATATTGAATTGGAAGTAAAATATTCGATTTTATTATATTCTTACAAAATATTAAGAGTTTATTTATATTAACTCAATTCATTGAATTATGATAGAAATGTTAATTTATATCTAGGACAAATTTAATTCTTCTTTATACATTCAATAAACTTTTTGAATAATGTTATTGAATATTGATTGGTCTTTATTCAATAATATAAACTGATTAATTCAATAAAAAATAGATTTTATTTCAGATCTAAAAATGATGTGAATGTTGAATTGTAAAATACCAAATTTTATCCAATTAGATATAAATGTATAATTTCTATTTATAATATTTTTGACTTATTTATTTTATTTAGATATAGAATTTCAAATTGGCAAGACTTATATGAATATTTGGCTGTAATTTCTTTAAATTATAAATATAATATAACTAAAAATTTGGCAAATATGTGATTTTTGATGAATATTTAACAATTTTTGAAAATTTTTTTAATGAAATATATAGTAAAAATAATATGAATTATATGGCAAATAATGTCAAATTATATAGTAAAAATTAATTGATAATTTATTTATGCCAAATTATATAGTAGAAATTTATTAATGATTTATTTATGTCATTAATATACCGAATTATTTATTTTTTTGATGAATATTACATAAGTGACATTATGCCAAATAAATATTTTTTGACTAGTAAAAAAATTATTTTTATTTTATAATAAATATTAAAATTGTTTTCTAATTAAAAATTTTTAAATTTAAAATAAATATAAAATAAAGTATAAAAAACAATATTTGAAATCATTGATTATAAATTAAATAATTGAATTATAATTACTATATATTGCAATAATACTATAATAAAACTATTTATTTAAAACTTAAAATCAAAAAAATTTACAATAATACAAAAAAGTTCAATCTAAAAACAACTATTTAAATTATCGCAAATATAGAAAAAGCTTAAATACTGTATTTATGATTTTTTCAAGAGAATTAAAAAGATAAAATAAAGAAAAATTTAAGATAACTCTATAAAAATTTTTATAAGTTTGAATATATTATATTTTATCAATAAAAAAGAAATTATACTACCAAAAATTAATAATAATTATATACTTAAACGAAATAGTTTATAATTTTCTTAAGTTAAATGGCACGTTTTTATGATGGTTTCTGTATATAAAAAAACCATATATAAAAGGTCGGCTATAATAAGGGATTTATTTCTTATGAACAATTATATCTGAACATTAAAGCGTTTTTCATGCCCACTTTTTATTAAATATTATTCGAGTAATTTTTTATAATAGCAACTTACAAAAAAATCTTTTTTCTTAAAAATTTATAAAACTACTAATAATTCGTGAGTCTTAATTAGCACAAAATGGTTATGATTAATTAATTGAAGTATCACCGATACACTTACATATTAATAAGAACTATACAATTTTTTTTTATTTTTCAATAACCTCTTCTTCTTCTATGTCATCACCTTCATCAAGTACGTCCTCTTCAACTTCAAATGTATTCGATGGAACTGAGTATAGACGAACCACAGGCTGCAGTATTATAGAAGATAATAATTCATTAAATGCTCGGCAAAAAAAAAAAAAAACAAAACAAAACAAAAATAACAAGAATTACCTTGTTTGGGTCTTTAAGCAATACATATTTACCCTCAGGCAATTTCATGCAGATGTCAATAATAGTTCGAATAATACCCCACCCATTAGAAACAGAAAGGTTCATCTGTGTTGCAAAATCGCGAGGCTTGGACATTTGGGTGCCCAGTATTACATGACGGGCACGGTCTTTTGGATTGACACGAGACACATAACTAAATATGCAAATTTTATTAGCGGGCAATAAATAATGTTACACGAAATAATTAATAGATACCCTAATTTCATTTGGTCAGCGCCAGCTAAAATACTTTGTACAGCCCATCGAGCTAATTTAAAACTATTATTTTTCATTTCAGTAGCAACAACTGCGCCACGTTGAGTGTCCAGTTTTTGTCTCCAATCTAATGATCCACCTGCGCCTTGGGCTCGAGAATCAAATTCATTCAAAGCTTTGATGGTAATGAATGAGTCACCTGTGGGCTGTTTGATCACAGAATCCAGTTGTGTACGAACGATAAGGCTCACCTCTTCACCCTCTTTTATGCTAAGATCGAAACGGCGATAACGATACGCACATGGCGCCATGAGTTCTATATCTTCGGCAGAGTTAACAAAAGGATTTGGTTTTTCGAAATCAAATCTTTCCGCCTATCATTAGAAGATTATCAACTATTAAATATAATATTAGAAAATAAAAAGATCAAAAAAGAAATTCATCTACCTCGTTCACGACTTGAATAGAAAAAGAATGGTTAATGTCTATCGCCTCCAGAGAAAGTGAATTGGGTGAATTAATGTTATCTTTGTCCCCAGTCTCAATAGGAGGATCAGCCGCATTTTCGTTTACGGTGATGTAATCTATAACGTAATATTCCTTAATGTGCTATTATAAAAAAAAAAAAAGAAAAAAAAATTTTTTTTCACATACCATACACTCCCTTTCGTTTATCAAAGAAAAGTTTATTACCCGTACGATTAATTAAAATATCCCAAGGATATACAGATCTCGGCGCGCACATTAACATACTCAAAACAGTATCAGTGGAAAAAACTGTGGCTTCATCATCTCTTGCGAGCTTAAGTTTAATAAAAATGAGTTAATTTGAATAAAGAGGATGATCAGGCAATTAAGCATACCTGTTCGATAATTGGATCTTCAGATGCAGAAATAAAGAATCGATATCGATCAGCAGGAACTAATGATCTTTCGGTTTTGGTAGTAACGCGATCATAAGACTTGTCGTAGTAGTAAAGGAAACCATGCGAGGAACTAAGAAGGAAATACATAAGTCACGTGAGGCTTACAGAAACATCAATTTAACTACATACATGTCTTCGCCTTCTTCTACATCCAAGTTAAGTTTAGATAAACGGTTAAATTCTATCTCTTCGAGCACTTTCCATTCGGGACCGACAGTTACTGATGCGTCACGCGTTCTCTGAGCCTGCATAAATAAAGCAAGCGTAAATTTTAATTTAAGTGAGAATAATTTAATTTTAGTATAAAAACCTTATCATAATCTTTCCATCCAAATCTTCTCCTAACATTAGCATTATTAACCTTACTTCCCGTGAAATTGCGATTGACTGCGCCCAATTTTTGATATTGTCCGTTCCTCTGTTGACGTTGCTGTTGCTGGTTTCGGTTTGCCCCGCGAGACTAGAGAGCAATTAAGCAATTAAAGATAATCGAGGTATTAGATCTCGGATCACCCAGACATGTATCATTTTTTCAGGCCCACACACACCTTTGTACCGCCCGTAGTTCTATATGATGCTGCTTTTTTTTGTGCAGCAGTACGGTTATCGACAACAGAAAATGATGCTTCATCTTCTGCGTGTGTGTAGGTAAAGGCACTTGACATTCCATGACCATATGCAGTATATTGTTCTAATTTGCAAAAAAAAAAAAGTGACACGCCATTAATTCTTGCAAAGAATGTTCTTTTATCCGTACAACTAAGTTTCGTGTAATGCCAATTCTCAAGAGTTATATCAAAATGAAAGATGCATACCCCGATATCGATAACCTTGTCTTTGCCTTCCTGTCGTTTCTTTCTCTTTTTGCTCTGGTGTAGACCAATCAGCAATTTTTCCCAACTTATCTGATTTGCTGTAGGGAGCATATGGGATGTCCCTAAATTTCTCCGTCAACATTGCAGGAGAAGGACCCCAACCATTCTCATTATCGATTATTTCAGGAAGCTGAAATGTCGGTTCGCCCATATCGTGCAATGAACAGATAAAAATTTTATCAAATCTATATTATATGTATTGTAAATCATAGCTAGATTGGTAATATTTGTTAGTAATCAAAAGCATATATTTATTCAAGCAATAATTTATTTATCGTGTGTATGTCCATTGACACTTACAAAATATACAGTACTTGAGCATTTTAGAATCTAAATTATATTAACAAACTTGTCTTAAGCCAAACCTTTAAGTTTAATTATGAAAATAATAATATATTAAAGAAAGGAAGAAAAAAAAAAAGAGAAATAAATATATACTGTATAGTATATAAGAAGAAAAAAAAAAAAAATCTTTTAAAAGATTTAATTTAATTTAATTTTTTTTTTTTGTATACCCGCAGCCAGGCTAGATTGTGAGTTTATTAATCAATTGAAAGCATAAGTACATTTTTATTCGAGCAGCATGATATATACTATAATTAAACTATTATTCTAATCTAACTAGCTTGTTATAAGCATAATAGCCTCTAAGTTTGATTTTGGAAACAATATTTCACTTCACAGTGTCTTTGGATAAAGACTCTCCTAGTCCATTGCATCATTGCCAGTAGGTTGTCATTGCCATATGTCAATCCAAGCCACTGAAATACAAGAAACTACAAAAGGATAGGTTGAAAAAAGGAATGGGGAATATCTAAAAATATTTAAATAGACAACAAGAAAATGAAAAGGTAAAAATTGAAAAAAAAAATATTTCCAGCTTTCTTCAAAGACCTGTTTCTCAAGACCTCTTCTCAATAAGAAATGCCTAATTGAAATATCCTTTCTTTTCCTAACTATCTATGAAACTTATCCATTCTTGATCTTGATTTTCTTCTCATATATTATTTGAAAAGACTTATTACCTAGTGGAAGTTTTTACTTCCAGGACACACTTTATCCCAATCTTCTTTGGGCAGTAATTTTTTATCCATCTATGGTATACAAGTGACTTACAGTGAACTCTAGGTTTTTATGTAACCTAATAGAAACTGGATTATGTTATTTTAGTATAATACTTTTCAGCAGTCACATCTAGTTAAAGGAATTTTACTGGTATATATCTTCCATTGATCAAAATAGTCATTTTCAAAGATCTTTTTACTTCACAATAGTGTGAGGGTACTGAAGAGCAGTGGGGATCCTTGTCAATTGCAGTATCCTTCAATAATGTCTGGGGAAATGCATTTTCAATTATAATCAAAGAGTTAAAGCTTAGTATAAACTAAAGACCATTCAGTTTTATTGCTTGATCGGAATAAAAAGAAGACCTTGGTCTTGAACTTTACCTAACTAGAATAATAGGAAAAAAAGACCTCAGCTTGAACAAATAATAGTTTTTTCATTACCTGAGGACTTGTTGCTCATATCTTATTGATCTCATGGTACTTGATCTGTAGGTTAATCCAATTGGAGAAATGGGATGAACATGAAGTACCAATCAACTCTTTCTATTACCAATGACATTATTGGAACACATGAAGTGACCAATAGGAGCTTGTTTACATTTAGTTATTAACATGTTTCATATCAACCAAACAGATACCAGGTAACATTATGCTACTAGAAATTCAGGATCAAACTGAGATAGGCAAAATTCTTCAAGAAAATTGTAAAAAACAGTAGATACTTTAAGAGAATATAAGACAGTATATAAGAAGATGAATAATAAGCCTTCTTCTGTTAACAGAATTTCTATTTCTTGTCATTTTTAGCTCTGTAAGGTGACACTTCACTTGTCAGTCTTTTTACTTTCTAGAACCTTCTTGTCCTTAGTAGAGAAAATATATATATGAGTCTTTTCAAGCCACTAGAGATTCAAGTTTTTATTCAAAGAAGTTTATAAATAAGTAAGGGAGGGTAAGAGAGATACATGAAGACAAGCTTCAAGTTGTTTTAATAAAAGTATAAAGACTTTATTAGTAAAGAAGTATAAAACTTTTTGTGAATATCTTTTTTGTGTGTGGTCAGAGGATCAGCAGAAACCTTTTAAAAGATTTAATAGATTAAAATTTTTATTAAAATATATATATATTTTTTTTTATTTTTTTTTGTTAATCTACAATTATGTTATAATGGCTTGTCTTTATTAAAAAATTAATCACAGACTTTTATATATAAGTACTTTTTTTTTTTTTGCAAATTAAAACACTATACTGCATATGGTCCTGGAATGTCAAGTGCCTTTACCTACACACACAC